AGCCCCACAGCTGCAGTGCAGCGTCAACCGAGCAGCCGGCCCAGGGAGAGAGGTCTCATCGATCAGGTCCCCAGTCCAGAGAGCCCTATGGCCGCGATGCAGCATCACTCAAGTGGCCGGTCAAACTAATCAAGGCTGCTCACTATTCCAGACCTGTTAAGTTTATCACAGTAAGTGTCTTCCGCACCTGTTGGATGGGCTTTACCAGCCGATTCGGGGAGCATATGTACAGCGCTCTTTTAAGAATTATAGTTTCATTGAGCAAAGTGACAGATTTGATTGTTTATTCGTTTGGTATCTGTAGAACTTTCTTGCTGCTCTGTTCAGCAGCACGAACGCTGTGTGTGTGAATGACCAGCACGTGCAAGCTGTAGCAGTCTAAAACTGACCCTCTGTGTCCAAACGTAATATAAATAGAATGCAATGATGTGCAGATCATGTAAACCATATTTTTAAAGGAAAACACTACAAAGACAACATATCAAATGTTCAAACTGAGAAATTTTAATGTTTTTTGAAAAATATTTGCCAAATTTGAATTTGATGCCAACAACATGTTCCAAAAAAGTTGGGACGGGGGCCTGTTTACCACTGAGTTTCACCACCTCTTCTTTAACAACACTCTGTAAGTGTTTGGGAACTGAGGAGACACTGCTGTAGTTTAGAAAGTGAAATGTTTTCCTGTTCTTGTTTGATACAGGATTTCAGCTGCTCATCAGTTCAGGGTCTCCTTTGTTGTATTTTTCATTTAATAATGTGGCAAATATTATCAGTGGTGACAGGTCTGGACTGCAGGCAGGTCAGTTTAGCACCAGGACTCTTTTAATACGGAGCAATGCTGCTGTAATACATGCAGAATGTGGTTTGACATTGTCTCGCTGAAATAATCAAGGCCTTCCCGAAAAAGACGTCGTCTGGATGGCAGCATATGTTGCCAAAACATGTATATATCTTTCAACATTAATGTTGCCTTCACAGATGTGCACGTCACCCATGCCATGTGCACTAATGCCCCCTATACCATCATGAATACTGGATTTTGAACTGTGCACTGATAACAAGCTGAGTGGTCTTTAGTCTGGAGGACACAGTGTCCATGATTTCCAAAAAGAATTTCAAATGTTGATTCGTCAGACCACAGGACACTTTTCCACTTCCCCCTCAGTCCATTTTAAATGACATCGGGCCCCAGAGAAGGCAGCAGTGTTTTTGGATCCTGTTTATGTACAGGTTCTTAAATTGCATTTGTGGATGCAGTGATGAACTGTTTTCACAGACAGTGTTTTTCAGAAGTGTTTCTGAGCCCATGCAGTGATTTCCACTACAGAATCATGTCTGTTTTTAATGCAGTGCTGTCTGAGGGCCCAAAGATCACGGCCAGCAAATACTGGTTTTTGGCCTCGACTCTTACATACAGAGATTTCTCCAGATTCTCTGAGTCTTTTAATGATATTATGTACTGTAGATGATGAAAAGTAGAAGTTCTTTGCTATTTTATGTTGAGAAACGTTATTCTTGAATTGTTGCACTGTTTGATGGTGCAGTCTTTCACAGAGTGGTGAACCCCTCCTCATCTTTACTTCTGAAAGACTCCGCCTCTCTGAGATGCTCTTTTATACCCAATCATGTTACTGACCTGTTGCCAATCAACCACCAGGTGTTTTTTTTTTAGCATTACACAACTTTACCAGTCTTTTGTCGCCCCCGTCCCAGCTTTTTTGGAATGTGTTGTTAGCATCAAATTCAAAATGGTCAACTATTTTTCAAAAAACAATAAACTTTCTCAGTTTCAGCATTTGATTTGTTGTCTTTGTACTATTTTCAATGAAACATATGGTTTAAATGTTTTGCACAGCATCCCAACTTTTTTGGAAATGGGGTTGTAGCATGTTTCAAAAATAGTCCAAACAAAGGCACTTTACACCACTGTCTAATTTGGCTGGAGGCGAGGACGGCTGCACCCGGACTGGAACACAGAGCGAACGGAATGGAGAGACTGGAGCGAACTGGTGCTGCAGTGCCTAGATAAAAGTGAAAGAGGTGGAGACACAAACACCCACTGCATTTACAGCAATGGTCAGGGACATGATGGGACACAAGTGCCTGTAGATGATGTCATAGTATTTAACCCAGAGGTCACTTCCTCCATAAATCACTAAAGATCACTGATAAACTGAGTGATAAGAGTCTCTGAATGCAAATCTGCCCATTGTTGCTGCTGCGCTGTGAAACAGGGCTCAGCAGTGTAGACAGATTTCTACTCTGTAGTGTTAAATTTAAAGGGAATTTCCACCTATTTTTCAAAATTTCTGCATAACTCAGTGTGTGAGATGTAAACAGAGAGATTCAGAGTGGTTTGGTGTGAAATGGTTCAGATGTCTTTACAGTGGTGGTGATAGGAACCAGGGGTCGCCATGACTACAACACAAATATAGACATTTTATTTACTATCCAGAACCACCAGTGAACCTACACGAGTCTTCTGAGTTTATGTTTATATGTTTATAAATACATAAAACAAATTTTTCTTTGGGGACTACTTTGCCTTTCAGTGGCCTACCTGTATCCCTCCACCATGAATGCATTGAAATAAATTGATTTAAATACATTTTAAGCCAAAACTTTCTCACAAAACTATCATAAAACAGTGTCTCAGACTTCCGGCAGTGAATTCATAACCATTTCATGTAGTAACTTTCTGTGAGGGAGCTTTTAGAGGTGGACGTCTGGTTCCTATCACCACCACTGTGAACAGTTCTGACTCTGTAAGGTTCTCTAGAACAGAGAACCACTCTGAGCCACTCTGTTTACATCTTAACCACTTAATTATGTGGAACTTTTTGAAAAATTGGTGGAGTTTCCCTTGACGCTGACTGCAGTCATTTTCCACTGTTGTTAGATTTCGCAGTCATGTTATGCTGCAACAACCACATTGTGAATTGGGTGCGTTGGGTTAAGACAAATAAATGTAAATAAAAACAAAGCTGTAAGTTCTGACTTCTAACTTGCTACCCTAACTTATTCAGGAGGAAGTGCTGAGTAGCGTTTGTTTATTTGTTAGCTGTGTGGCTAACGGTGTTAGCATGCATGCTGGCAAAACTAGTTTTAAACCTGGTCATGAAAGCTCAGGGAGTTCACTCAGAGACTAAAACTCCTAAAACGAGCCTTTGGAAAACGGTCCCCCTCCTCCACCAAGCAACCCGGACACCTACGTCCACTCGTTTCCTGCTTGTGTCTCTTTCATCTGCCTGTTAATGGGGGCTTTGACGGTCTGTGAGGAGCCTTAAATTGGGAGCCTGTGGTCGGGAGAGCCGTTAAGACCTGCTGTGGGGCTGCATTCCTGACCGGGCTGCTGGCAAGACCGCCTGCTTGTGCAGCTCTGCTGTCTGCTCGTGTAAACTGAGCGGAACCTCAGCACGAACTTGAGGCTTTTGTCTTTCGGATCAGCTGTTTTTCTTTAAAGCACTGAGTCGTTTTTCACCAGACTGCAGAGTCCTACTTCCTACTTGCGTTGGGAGCGACTCAGCTGTTTTCACTCCGCAAGTCTCAGCAGAAGCTGCTGGTTGTGCAAAAACCATCAGCTTAATTGCTCAAACATGCTTTACCATTTAACATTATGCTGTCATTCACAAGCGGCTCACAAAGGAGTTCTTAAATCGCCAAAGTAGGGCAGAAAGATGAATCGTTTTTATATTGAAATCGCAATTTTACCCTGTTCTTCAGTGGTCAGGACCCCCATGGACCCCCACAGCGCAGGTACTATTTGGGTGGTGGATCATTCTCAGCACTGCAGTAACACTGATGTGGTGGTGGTGTGTTAGTGTGTGTTGTGCTGGTCTGAGTGGATCAGACACAGCAGTGCTGCTGGAGTTTTAAACACCTCAGTGTCACTGCTGGACTGAGAATAGTCCACCAACCAAAAATATCCAGCCAACAGCGTCCTGTGACCACTGATGAAGGACTAGAGGATGACCAACACAAACTGTGCAGCAGCAGATGAGCTATCGTCTCTGACTTTACATCTACAAGGTGGACTGACAAGGCAGGAGTGTCTAATGGAGTGGACAGTGAGTGGACACAGTGTTTAAAAACTCCAGCAGCACTGCTGTGTCTGATCCACTCACACCAGCACAACACACACTAACACACCACCACCACATCAGTGTTACTGCAGTGCTGAGAATGATCCACCACCCAAATAGTACCTGCTCTGTGAGTTTCCATGGGGGTCCTGACCACTGAAGAACAGGGTAACAAAGTATCAGAGAAACAGATGGACTACAGTCTGTAACTGTAGAACTACAAAGTGCACCTATATAGTAAGTGGAGCTGATAAAATGGACAATGAGTGTAGAAACAAGGAGGTGGTCAGAATGTTATGCCTGATGGGTGTAAATATAAAAGCAAAAAAAGAAATTAAAGACAAAGGGCTTAAATTAGCTTATTAAACTGCAGTTACACTCTTAAAGATGGTTCTTCAATGATTCTTTTGTAAAGAAAAAGGTTTGTTTTCTTTACTAAACGGAACGTGCATGAATGTGCTGTAAACGGTTCTATATAGACATTTTTAGAGAATAATGGAAAAGGGTTTTTTCTGTTGCTACAATAAAAAAACATTTTGGGTGCTAAATATGGTTCCATACAGAACGATCTCCAACACATCCTCCATCAGTGTGAAGAACCCTTTCCTGATGCAAAGGAATCTGCGTTTAATCATGCAGAGTGTTCGTGGTTTTATATAAAACCATTTTCTTTACAAAGAACCCTTGAAGAACCATCTTTTTTTAAGAGAGAAGAATGAAGAGCAAGTCTTAGAGCTCAGTCGTAGAAACGCGAGAAGAGAAATGATTTTATCCTGGATTTCAGAATCTCGGTTTTTGAATGCAGAACGTTCTCATCTCTTCTTAGAGCCGCAGTCTTCAGTGTGTTCCACTCAGATCCTCACTGTAGGTGTCTGTGCCGAATGTAGGTGTCTGACTTTGGTCCTCCTCTCTCTGCAGTCTCTGTGCTCGGCAGTGGTGCAGGTGTACGCAGCGGACAGGAACGCCTCCTGGACGAAGCGATGCTGCGGCGTGGCCTGCCTGGTGAAAGACAACCCTCTGAGATCTTACTTCATCAGGGTGTACGACATCAAAGTGAGTAGCAGGGGTGCAAATTTTGGCAAATTCTTCTGACTGACCACATAGAGGTGGGCAGTATGACGATATGATTTCCTGAGCGTGTCACAGATATGCTCTGGATAAGTTGGTCAGTGAGGCAAAGCAGGTCAGTTCAGTGTGCTTCACATGATAAAAGCAAAAGGAACATCAAAAGGAAATATAAAGTCTAGACACTCAGATCGGATTTCAAAGTGTCTTTTTAACCAGAAAATATTGTGCTTATTATTTTTAGATATTACCCAGGCCTAGTGAGACGGATCAGGACACCACACACCTGTCAAACGTGTCACTCGCAACACGACAAACAACCACGATGTGAAATCCAGAGTGACGGATGTGGCCAAATTAGCCACCTTGCTTCCTGGCTGTTTACTACGGAAGTCCGGAGAGGCCACAAGCTGTGGCTTTAATTTCCTGGATTGCGGTCTTGATTAACACTTAATTATCTTGTGGTCTCGAGATAATGTGTTGTCTTGAGATCACAACTTAATTATGTTGTGATCAAGATAACAACTATCTTGTGATCTCAAGATAACAAAGTTGTCAAGATATCGCAATTTAATTATTTTATTATCTCGAGATATCAGAAGTTATCCTGATCATGACTTATCTTGCGATCTCAAGATAACAACCTAGCTGTCTTGAGATCTCAAGATAACAAAGTTATCTTTGATCACAATCTGATTATTTTGTGATCTTGAGATATCAAGTTATCCTGAGCAATCTTACGATAATCTTGAAATAACGACCCAGAAAACTGTAGCCACAGCTTACAGCCTCTCCGGACTTCCGTAGTGAACGGCTGGGAAGCTGTAGGCTTGTACTTTAATAGTCGAATACAATAAACAATAAAAGACCAATCGTTAATTATTTATGTGGCAGTTAATTGTCAGCTAATATTTCATGATTGTGACACAATCGCTGTGTATATGAAATGTCAAATTAAAGAGGAAATCATTCAATGGACAAACAGTCGTTTACTTTTTCGTTTACGGCCAGTCAGTTATTCGGTTGATCATTTACATCTCTAACGAGTTGGCATCAGTTAAATTGAGGCCTCTGTATGAAGCACCTCTTTCATGTCGTGCAGTTTGTGATGGTTTGCATTACTTATTACTTATTTGCTAACACAAATTAGCAAATTCAAGTCAATATTTTTCTATTAGCAAAGCAAATGTTAAGCAGGGACATTCAAAACCGTTGAAACCGGTCAGACCTGCTGCTCTCAGCTCAGCTGTTTAAATCCGGTCCGTACATCTCTGAGGGAGCCGGCCGGACTTAGTCTGATAATTAGCTTCTTGTTGGATGAAAACCTCGTATCTCCAAACTGGTAACTTTCCAGGAGAAGGAAAAAACCTACTTTACTTTTAATGTAAGTCAATGGAACCAGAATTTTTTCCAAGTAATTTTGGGTTGTTTCTTTTGGTCCATTCATCATGAAATTTACACACAATGTAAAGACCAACAGGCATTTTCAAATTATGTCAAAAACTGAAAAACGAGGTTTTCTTCCGACAACAGCGAAATGGTCCTTTTAAAGGCCCCATTATAATTCAGTGTTATAACAGCAGAAGTGAACAGAACATTATGTCTACGTTTCATTTAATCTTATTTATTGCCTTCTGATCCCGTTTCCCAGCCGTGGTAGCAGATCGGAGGAACTTTCTCTCCAGGTTAGAGCTTCAGTAACTGCTCTAGAGTAAAACTTAAGCTCAGTTGTTTTACTGCAGTGAGACACACTAAAGCAAACCGAAGCATGAAGGCATTTGTTTTCGGTTCCAGGTACTCAAGCTAAACTTGGCGTGAAGTAAAATAAGCAGAAGGTGAAGAGCCGTGCAGTAGATAAAGCCAACATTCCAGTCTCTCTCTCTCTCTCTCTGTCTCTCTCTCTCTCTCTCTCTCTCTCTCTCTCTCTCTCTCTCGAGGTCCACACACTCTTCATTAATTCCAATTTCCCAACATATTTACAATCCATTTTCCTGAACAGTCCTGTCTATTTCTCAGTTCTTTTCCCAAAATAACTATCATTTGCCTTTTATTGTCACCTTTTATTATTGCCATCAGGCTGTTGATCTGTCATCAACGATATCCGATTACGCCAGCCGATCACCCAGGCCTCCGTCCCACTGTCCACTTATCAGATCACTTGAGACGGATGTTAATAGCTGGGGCCAAATTCATGAAAGCTCACTTAATACAAGGAAAAATATCTAGAAATAATAAATTTACTGATCTCACAATACTTTTAAAACAGTCTCATAATGAGAAATATTAGATATATTAACAATATTTGAGATGTTTTCACTCCAGGGCGTGTCTGTGGGCGGGCTGGGGTTGGCGACATAAGCTTTTTCCCACCCAGAAGAATCATCTGCCCATCCAATGAAAAGTTTCCCTCTCTAGTTCACTCAAAAGCTCATTGCTCATAAAATCTAAGTCAAAATTTTACAGTTTATTTTTTTTCTTGAGAAAAAACTTGCGAAGGTTCTTAAGACAAACACTGAGAAGTTCATAAGAATGTTCTTCTTAAAAAAACGTAAGAACTTCTCAGATGTTCCCTTCCTGGCTACGTTGCGTTTTACCCCGTACCGTAAATGACGCCAGATACATTTTTAATTTGTTTTAACTGTTATTTCCGTCGTTATTTAGTTTAATCCACTTAGAGGAGCAAAATGGGGGAAAAACATCAAACCAAATGTTTAAAAATTAGCAGAGAAGATCCAGAGTGAATGGAGGCAGAAACGGCCAACAGGAAAAAATCCTCCCTAAAAAAATTGTGGAGTGACGATGGAAAGCAAGGGACGAGGATGAGGAGCAGCAGGGGCGGCGTCCGTGATGAATTTAGATGCTCACCTCGTCGACTCTCACAGCCCGAGACTGTAGAGGTGTCAGTCTGTCGTAAGGTTAAGAAAACATAATATTTCCAAGAATAACACTTGTTCAGGTTTTTCTTAAGGAAATAGTTGAGAAAAGATAATAAGCGAATTCTTCAGCAGTTATTTGAAGAATAACAATATTTCGTAAGTCTTTTCCTTAAGAATGAAGTTAAGAAAACACACATCAGAATCAGAATCAAGCCTTATTGGCCCGGTTTGCTTATACATACAGGGAATTTGGTCTTGGTTACAGGAGCTCACGCCAAAAGAGTACTATATACCACCAAAAAGGGTTCTTATATTATATATTACCTATATCTATGGTTCTATACACTCTATATAGAACCATTAACACTCAAAAAAGGCTTTACATGATTAAAAGGTTCTTTGCATCATGAAAGGGTCCTTCTACAGAATAGAAAAACCCTTCTGTGGTGCTATATAGAATCCTTTTCAAAAAGGTTCTAAGTAGAGCCATGTACAGAAGGTTCTCCATCAGTATGAAGAACCCTTTCACAATACAAAGAATCCTTTAAGCATGAATGTACTCTACATGGTTCTATATAGAACTTTTTTGAAATCAGACCAACACTTACATGTAGAGCTGGGCGATATGGCCTAAAATGTTTTCACGATAAACAAAATTCATATCGTTCGATATCGATACATACCGCGATAAATGTCAAATCATTATTTCTTTCAAGTTTGAAGGCTGATTTTTGCTCCTGGGTGGTTAATCACTGTTTTAAACTATCCTTTATGGTCAGAACACGATAAACACTCAGCAAACAGTGGAACATTTCACAGATCTGTCATGGGAGAGTGGGAGAAAGTGTCTGCTGAGCTGTTTTACCAGCTGGAAAAGCATGGCTATTTTGTAATAGTCATAATTTAAGAAAGAAAACAGATTATTTTAGCTGGTGCCGAGCGCTCGGCTACCCCGCTACACACGACATCACAGTGTTCAGACACCAGCTAGACGACTGGATTTCTCTGTACTATCGTAGTAGTTTAAGGGATGAACCGCAAAATATCAACACCAGACAAACAGAGTCCGACTTTTAGGTACGTTTAAACTGAAAGCGGTGCTTTTGTGTCGTGTTTGATCTACAGTATCATCAATTCTCCATGCTGTGTGAGTGACGGAGCTGCTTCTAGTTAGCCAGCTGCTAAAAACAGCTAGCCTGGAAAGCTAGCGCTCTCCCGCTCTCCAATGCCTCACAGCTTCCTCAGTTTACTTTCGTTTAAATCAGGGCTGTAATTTACATGAACCCACTTTTTTCTTTCACTTTCGTTGCTTGTGAACGCACTAATACTAAAATACGACTGAGCGCTTTAACAGTGCTGTAGTTGTGAGGAGCAGATGTGATTTAACGCTGCTAAAGCTGTTAGGATGTTAGTAAAGAGGTGAGTTCGCTGTAGGACAGTACGGTTACACCACTGACCTCGTCACTCACACTCGGTCACAGGAGAGCAGATCGCCGGTCGGTCCACTCAAACAGGGAATGTATAACTCCGCGTTTCAGCCGTTGCTAAAGACTCATCTTACTCGTGGCCCCCTCCCTCTCTAATCATGTCGAAAAACTCGGAAGTGCGCCCTCTCCTGTAGTAGTGTCACTTTCCTTGCAGTAGAAAATGCCAAGGCTTTCGCTGAACGAGGAGGTGTGAGAATGGTGTATTATATCGAACATGTCGTATCGCTCTATCGAGGAAAAGTTATATCGCGATAATTATCATTATCGTTTTATCGCCCAGCCCTACTTACATGTGGTGAATAAAATAAAATAATAAAATACAATAAAATAAAATAACATAAAATAAAACAAAATAAAACATGCATTCCTACCATCACACACACACACACACACACACACACTCCTCCCTGTACCCTTTACATTGTGCAAAGTACGAGTCTACAGTTAAAGTGCTGAGTGCTGCTGTAACTGCAGACCCATTTTAACACTTTAACTGTAGAACATTTATGATTATCTTTCTTGAGACCCTTTCAGAAATCCGGCTCCTGGGTCTTTGACGCCCCGTAATGCTTGTCATGATTTCTGACTGTATTTTGTGTTAATATTTCCTTTCCTGTGCTGATTTTGCAGGCAGGCAAATCCCTGTTTGAGCAGGAGTTCTACACAGACTTCTCAGTGAAGTACCCCAGGTCCTACTTCATGACGTTCGCTGGAGACGTAAGTGGCCTCGGCCTCACTGTGTGTCCATGAGCTCGTGTTTGTGTGGGGGGAAATACACTTGGGTCTCCGCTGCATGTGACCGCAGCAGACCAGAAAGTATGCGGCTTTCTCATAAGAACACAGAGGGAAGTAGAACCTGATGGCGGTTCTGTGATAAAGCTGCACTTTAGAGCAGTGCACTTAATTGCATGCAAATCGATCAACGAGCCGTCGCAGGCCTTTCTCTGAAGAACAGGAGATCAAAATGAGATCCTGAGCAGATTCTGAATATGATAAACACAAACATGTACAGAAGATGGTTCCTTCAAGGGTTCTTCAGTAAAGAAAATGTTTCCAGATAGAACCATAAACACTCAAAGAACGCTTTACATGATTAAAGGGCTCTTTTTGTCATGAAATGGTTCTTCAGATGAATGGAAAATGTGCCCTTTTTAAAAAAGGGTTCTTATATTGTTACAAGTTTGACCTCTATGGTTCTGTACACTCACAGATGGGTTCTTTAGTAAAGGCAGTGGTTGTGTATAGAACTATGAACACTTAAAGAACCCTTTGCATAATTGAAAGGTTCTTTGCATCAAGAAAGGGTTCTTCTACTGTAGCAAGCTTGGTATCGTAACAACAGAAGAACGCTTTTTGGTGCTATATAGAATCCTTTTCAAAAAGGTTCTATGTATAGAACCATATACAAAAGATTCTCCATCGATGTCAAGAACACCTTTCTCAATACAAAGAATCCTTTAATGATGAATGTGCTCTACATGGTTCTATGTACAACTTTTTTGAAACGGGTTCTATATAGCACCAAAAAGTGTTCTTATATTGTTATATAGCAAGCTTGATAGCATAACAACAGAAGAACCCTTTTTGGTGCTGTATAGAATCCTTTTCAGAAAGGTTCTATATACAGAACCATACACAAGACATTATCCATCAGTCTAAAGAACCATTTCACGATGCAGTGAACCCATTAATCACGCAGAGGGTGTTTTGGGTGTTCATGGTTCTATATAGAATAATTTTCTTTAATAAAGAACCCTTGAAGAACCATCTTTTTTCATGAGAGTAACCTCATAAACAAATCCTCCTGTTACCCAGACGGTGTAATGTACAGCCTGTTGTTATGTTCTTCGTCATCTTCAATCTCATGTTTCAGATGAGTTTTGTGACAAAGGAATTCATGTGACCTTGAAAATTTATTAACTAAATAAATAATTTTGGCAAAAATAATACTGGTCAGTCTGTTGAGCGCCTGTGTGTCTTAAACACGGTACTGTGGAAAAGAAAATTGGATTTAAAAAGCTGTTTATCTGATCAGTAAATATTTGTTTGCTCAGGAAAAATGACTAATATTAAAATAAATATAAATAATAATGATATACACCAATCGGGCATAACGTTCTGACCACCTCCTTGTTTCTACGCTCATTGTCCATTTTATCAGCTCCACTTACTGTATAGGTGCACTTTGTAGTTCTACAGTTACAGACTGTAGTCCATCTGTTTCTCTGATACTTTGTTAGCCCCCTTTTACCCTGTTCTTCAATGGTCAGGACCCCCATGGACCCTCACAGAGCAGGTACTATTTGGGTGGGGGATCATTCTCAGCACTGCAGTAACACTGACGTGGTGGTGGTGTGCTAGTGTGTGTTGCGCTGGTGCGAGTGGATCAGACACAGCAGTGCTGCTGGAGTTTTTAAACACTGTGTCCACTCACTGTCCACTCTATTAGACACTCCTACCTTGTCAGTCCACCTTGTATGTGTAAAGTCAGAGACGATAGCTCATCTGCTGCTGCACAGTTTGTGTTGGTCATCCTCTAGTCCTTCATCAGTGGTCACAGGACGCTGTTGGCTGGATATTTTTGGTTGGTGGACTATTCTCAGTCCAGCAGTGACACTGAGGTGTTTAAAAACTCCAGCAGCACTGCTGTGTCTGATCCACTCGCACCAGCGCAACACACACTAGCACACCACCACCACGTCAGTGTTACTGCGGTGCTGAGAATGATCCCCCACCCAAATAGTACCTGCTCTGTGAGGGTCCATGGGGGTCCTGACCATTGAAGAACAGGGTAAAAGGGGGCTAACAAAGTATCAGAGAAACAGATGGACTACAGTCTGTAACTGTAGAACTACAAAGTGCACCTATATAGTAAGTGGAGCTGATAAAATGAACAATGAGCGTAGAAACAAGGAGGTGGTCAGAATGTTATGCCTGATTTAATGTCTGTCAGAGTGTTTGTTTATCTATTTCCTGGCCCCTCCTCCAGGAAGCCCAGTATTATTTGTGGTTATCTCAGTACGTGCTTTATCTAATCAATATTTATTTATAGGGGTGGGCGATATGACGGTATTTTATCATATAAAATTGTCACAGTACAATTTTCTGGGCGTCATCAGTACTTAAAATACCCTAACTACATGTTTTATGACAAAAGTGAGTATAATTAGGCCTGTTTAATCGGCCTTAATTTTTTAAAATTGGTTTAATTCAATTATTGAATAAAACAAAGAAATATTCATAGATATCATGTATCGTGAAAATGTCTTGAAGTATCGTGATATAATATTTTTGATATATCGCCCACCGCTACTAAATCAGGTGCTGCTGGTTTGTTCTTCACAAATGCTGATCAAAAAAAATGAATTTTTGTTGCTTTTTACTGTATGTTTATTTTTGTTTACTCTAACGATGTATGTTCATATATTCTTATATTGATTTTACCAGCACAAACATGCTTCAAACTTATAGATGGTTTTAATTAATGTAATTAGGTGCATTTTTGCACAGTACTGTATACCAGTAGGCATATTACTCTCACAATGCAGTGCGTAACAGTGTAGTTACAATAGTGCTGAGCAATATGACGATATTTATTGTTATTATGATAAATTACGCCACAGTATACTTTTCAGAGCATGTTGTAGATATCGTCTGTACCTAAAGTGGTTAAACTGCATGTTTTATTACAGAGAAAGCGTTTTTGGACCTGATTAATTGGATTTGGTGCAAAAAATATTGAGCTTTTACTGTATTTTGTTTATAATATGGTTAATTGGTCGTAATGATACTTTAGGCTACTGTGTTGGTGTATTATTTACACAGATATACATTTTTATTGCAATATCTTTGATGGTGGTTTGCTTGGCTCTAAACACAGACGTGTCAGATTGGCCTCAACTTTGCCAGTGAGGAAGAAGCCAAGCGTTTCAAAGTGGTGTCTGACGGCCTGTTGGAGAAACGACAAAGGAAAACGGGTATGTACCACTTCGCCCGTCTGTCCGCCGTCTTGTCCTTTGCAGTTAATATCTTCCTGTTTATGGCTTTATTCTGAGTAAGGCGTGTACAACAGTTGTAGGCAAAAGTTTGGGCCAAATTCCATATTTTGTAAAATATGTGAAATATGTAAACAGAACCTATACATTTTAATGCACAATTACTTTATACTAGAACTAGAATAGTCAACAATATTAAATAGTAATTTGTGGCATGGGCAAAAGTTTGGACACCCTTCCAGTTGTAAAGTCTCAGAGCTTCATTAGGCCTTAATTGACACGTTAGGCAGGTCAAGAATTACCATTAGGAATTTCCAGCTACTGACAATTCCAGAGTATAATAAATTCTGACTGTTGAAATCAAGTGCTAACACTGAACAACCTTGGGCTCCTCTGCGCAACTGGATGAGGGTCTGAAAAAGAAACTAATCGATGCCTATGAAGCAGGAGAAGACTACAAAAAGATATCAGAGCGCTTCTGAAATGTCGTTAAGAAGTGGCAGTTAAGGGGAACTGTGGAAGTCAAGGCAAGATCTTGAGCTTTCAGGTAGAGCTTCTCGTGTGCTGGGCAGAAAGGCAAAGCAAAACCCCCACATGACGACAAAGGACCTGCAGGGAGGTTTACCTGATACAGGAGTGGTCTGGATGGAAGAAAGCTACGGTCACACAGCACGTAAAAGTGGCCCAAATCTGATTTTCTCACCAAGTCTGATTTTTTTGTTTGGCTGTTCAGATTATCTTTTAAATCTGATCTGTATGCGACATCAGTCTGAACAGATCAGCTCCTAAACTGACCCACATGCTCTAAAGAACAGAGCGTCACGCTGCTTCACGGCTCATCCAGAGGTAAACAATCACGACCGCCAACGAACGCCAGTCGCTCCCGGAGGATCAGCTTCATCTTTACCAGCATCACAGGAGCCATCATGAGGCTTCACTGACTGACAGCTGGGCTCATCACCCAGAATGTGTTCAAGCCGTAAAAAGGGGCGCGGCCACTTCTTTGGTTCGCGTCCTCGGATTCTTTAAACTCTGCTTTCAGACTTTTAACTGCTCTTTGACGCTGCAGCCTCGTTCTCCTGCGGCCGCGTTCGGACATTTCTTTACAAATCTCTTTAAACATGAAGAGTTTTGGATGAGTCTTTTCTAATTTTTGGTACAGAAACATCAACCCGAATGTTTGCGTCTTAGTAGCGCAAAATTATGACGAATGTCGAGTTGGATTGACGTAAAAGAATTCCGATCTGGCTGTTCAGACCCAGAGTCGCATTGCCGCAGATCGGATACGTATCGGATTTCGGTAGCACATATAAAAGCGTCTCAAATTGGAACTGAAAATGTCAGATTTGGTGTGTTTATCTGTTCACACTGACACACAGACGCACATCTGCGTCACATACGGAGAATAAGATCAGATTTGGGCCACTTTTACCTGCTGTGTGAACAAAGTCCTGGAGAGGCCAGAGGCGTTTTGCAAACAAGTGCTGTGAACTGATGAAGTATAAATGGAACTGTTTGGCTACAATCACCAAAAGTATGTCTGGAGGAAAAAAGGAGAAGCGTCTGATGAAAGGAACACCGTTGTTGAGCCTGGTGTTCTGACAAGTAAGTGTGATACAGTCAGTCATGAAACTTAAGATGAAAAGAGTTTGGCTTCTAAAACAGGACAATGATCCAAAACACACCTCAAAATCCACCATGAATTATTTCAAGAAACTCAGACAGAAGCTTTTGGAACGGCCCTCACTGTACCCAGACTTGAACATCATCCTGAAATCTGCGAGTAGATCTTAAGATCTCAAGATGACCCAAGAGTTTTGCAAAAGTAGAGAGGGGGGGTGTGAAAATTCCTAAAACAGGAATAGAAACACTTCTAGCTGGATACAAAAAGCTGATTTCTGCCAAAGGGGGTGTTAGCCCTGACTTAGTTGGGTGTCCGACACGACACTATTACTGTTTTATTTTTGTTTTATACAACAGTTACTTCCAGCCACGCAAGCTGATTGGTTGAGAAATGTTCTAACGGTGCTGTTATTTCACCATAACATCACGGGTTTTTCACAAACACTGTATCACTCCGCTGAGACGCCGTTGCTAAGCAACGACTTTGACAGCTGTAGGAGACGCTCAAGACATTTGAACGTTTTTACTTCTTACTTTGCCACAAACAGAAAACGGAGACTTTTAAGATCAGATTTGACCGACAGCCGATTTGGTCAGACTCTGAAGATGAGACGACACTAAACTCCCAAACTGTCATCACCACTGAGCAGCTTTTCAGTCGGCAGCTGAGACAGAAGAACAGCTAAACAACCTGGAATCAGCCAGAAATGAACCCAATACCATTCGCCATAATTTGGTGAAGGAACATTAAAACATATTAAACGCCGCGTTCACGGCCCAGTTTATTAATTTATTACTTTATTTATTTAACTGTTGTATAAAAGCAATAGAACACTCGAGGAGTGTGTTATCGCCAATAACATCACCAAATCACAGCCGTGATGTTATTTCCCGATAACACACTCCCTCTTGTGCTCTATTGCTTAACATTTGCAGATGTTTTAATTTTTTTTTAATTTTAGTTTGCCATCTCTTCACTTAAATTACACATGTTTTGATTTTGATTTTTTTTTTTACGTTACATAATGCCGCTATCTGGAAAAAAAAAAGTATCTCCATTTTTGGGATGTTTAGTTTTCTGCATCATTTGAGCTCAGCAGCTCCTCTACACTGTGTGAAAATTTGATGATGATTGGACAAACAGAAATGTTCCAGAATTGCTTTGAATAAAATCTTTTGTATTCAGTTTCAGTGAAAGCAAAGAAAGTTTTTGCTGTCTCCTGTAAAGTTACCATTTTGGAAATACTTGTTTTTCTTTGAACGGTGACAATATAGTATGTTTCGCCCAAATTTTTGCGTACAACTGTATGTACACAGCATATTATTCCTCTGCTTACTCAATAAGATCTTAGAGTGTGACATTTCTGACTGGAAGTGATTTGGTTGATTAAATAAATAAGAATTAAATATTCGGGAACAGTTTACAGATGTCTACATAACACTTTCATGATATCTTACATAAACGCTTCATGACATTTTCTCATTTTTTATTCTGAACAACTATTCAGTGAAATGCCAGATTTCTGGACGGCCAAAGTAAAAATGACCTCGCGTTGCCCCTTTGGTCATTAAGTGCTTTGACACTTCTTTTTAATTATTTGTTCTTCTTAAGCATTTGTGTTTTGCACATTGTTCTATTAACTTTTTTAACTCCTACGTCTTCTAAAAATGTTATTGTGCCAAGTAGTTAGCACTGATATCCTGTAAAACATGTATGCTTTTGTAAGTGTTCATTTAAGCATTCATGAACATGTTGTGAAGTGTTTATGTAAGATGTTATGAATGTGTTATGTCGACACCTTTCGAGTGAAGTGTTACCGAATATTTATTATTCATTAATGTGAGATAAACAGATGCAAATCATAACAGTTTTTACCTTTATTTTGTTTTAACATGCTGTTAAATTCCTATCATAATCTAATCCTCCATGTCCATTACCAAATACACCGATCAGACATAATATTCTGACCACCTCCTTGTTTCTACGCTCATTGTCCATTTTATCAGCTCCACTTACTATATAGGTGCACTTTGTAGTTCTACAGTTACAGACTGTAGTCCATCTGTTTCTCTGCATACTTTGTTACCCTGTTCTTCAGTGGTCAGGACCCCCATGGACCCTCACAGAGCAGGTACTATTTGGGTGGTGGATCATTCTCAGCACTGCAGTAACACTGACGTGGTGGTGGTGTGTTAGTGTGTGTTGTGCTGGTCTGAGTGGATCAGACACAGCAGTGCTGCTGGAGTTTTTAAACACTGTGTCCACTCACTGTCCACTCTATTAGACACTCCTACCTTATCGGTCCACCATGTAGATGTAAAGTCAGAGACGATAGCTCATCTGCTGCTGCACAGTTTGTGTTGGTCATCCTCTAGTCCTTTATCAGTGGTCACAGGACACTGCCCACAGGACGCTGTTGGCTGGATATTTTTGATTGGTGGACTATTCTCAGTCCAGCAGTGACACTGAGGTGTTTAAAAACTCCAGCAGCACTGCTGTGTCTGATCCACTCAGACCAGCACAACACACACTAACACACCACCACCACGTCAGTGTTACTGCAGTGCTGAGAATGATCCACCACCCAAATAGTACCTGCTCTGTGAGGGTCCATGGGGGTCCTGACCACTGAAGAACAGGGTAAAAGGGGGCTAACAAAGTATCAGAGAAACAGATGGACTACAGTCTGTAACTGTAGAACTACAAAGTGCACCTATATAGTAAGTGGAGCTGATAAAATGCACAATGAGCGTAGAAACAAGGAGGTGGTCAGAACGTTATGCCTGACCGGTGTATTTTTCTTGTTTTGCAAATGTACTTGATGCTGCACACTTTGAGTCATTTTAGTGCTGATTGATTGCCAGAGATCCCATGATAACTCCGCCCACGCATATTTAATCACCTGCAGTAGAAGCTTAACTATCTTGTTGCCATGACGTCTAATCTATTGTCCATATTCTGAGCGCTGTGTGTATGTAAACACGGCTAATCTCGCCGCTGCTTGCTAGAAACTGACCTCCTCCTGTTTGAGCGTCTCTCGCTCTCGTCTTTGAAGTTTCTGCCAGGAAAGTCTGCGTCTGATTAACTTCTCCTGAAGCTTAAACACCTTAACCGCTTCCTCAGCGAGTCGGTCTCTGCTGTTCTCCTGACTCGGCCGGTACTGCTGGGAGAGGGCCGGACCTTCACTGTCCAGCCTCCTTCAGGGCTGCTTCTAACTGTTCTTGCATCACCTACAGCACTAATGATGATAAACAGCTGACCTTTCCAGTTTCTCTCGTTGTTCTAACTGACCACTTATGCTAATTTATGCTAATACAAACGCATTAACGGCTATTTTGGTCGCAATAAAATAATAACGGATATCTCGATTTTGTCTTCCAGAAAAAAGACGTGATCCACCCAATGGTAGGTTCCATTTTAATCAATGAGTTGACAACCTTTTGCTCCAAAAAACTGGTGTGCACACTTAAACATGATGGTTCTTCAAGGGTTCTTTAGTAAAGAAAATGATATGCAGAACCATGAACACTCAAAGAACCCTTTGCATGATTAAATGGTTCTTTGCATGGTGAAAGGGTTCTGCAGATTGATGAGGAATGTGCTGTTAAGGGTTCTATATAGTACCAAAAAGAATCAAGCTTGTTACAGTAGAAGAACCCATTTTGGTGCTGTATGGAACCCTTTTCAAAAAGGTTTTATACACTCTTAAAAAAGTTGGTTTTTCAAGGGTTCTTTAGTAAAGAAAACGGTTCTATATAGAGCCTTGAACACTTTGCATGATTAAATGGTTCTTTGCATCTTGAAACGGTTCTTCATATTGATGAAGAATGTGCTGTAAATGGTTCTATGTGTAATCTCTTTGAAAAGGGTTCTATATAGCACCAAAAAGCATTCTTCTATTATGATATCAAGCTTGCTACAATAGAAGAACCCTTTCATGATGCAAAGAACCATTTAATCATACAAAGGGTGCTTTGAATGTTCATGGTTCTTTATAGAACCACTGTCTATACTGAAGAACCCTTGAATGAACCATCTTTAAGAAGGTATAGAACCATCCACAGCGTATTTTGTATAAATCTGAAGAACATTTTACGATACAAAAGACTCTGTTAATGATTCAAAGGGTTCTTTGAGTGTTTATGGTTCTATATAGACCCATTCTCTTTTCTAAAGAACCCTTGAAGAACCATTTGTGGCACATAGACAGTCAGTTAATGTGCAGATTTCTCCCCCAGCTGTGTTTCTCTCTGAGTGCTGTAGTTAATCCTCTCAATGGAAGCAATTTTGCCACCATATGTAGCCCATATGATGTAGCTGCCCCCCCAACCCACCCACCCCCTTCAGTAGCAACACTGGCAATTACACCCTCCCCTTGTTAAGTTCCCCCTGTATCTAGCACGTTCAGACTAGCACTCTTCCTCCAACAGGACCACATGGCTAACATTACGTAGTTAAACAGGCTCCAGTAGAATGAACGTTTGGTCATCTACACACTTAAAAAGATGGATCTTCCAGAGTTCTTTAGTAAAGAAAATGGTTCTATATAGTACCATGAACACTCAAAGAACCCTTTGCCTGATTAAATGGTTCTTTGCATGGGGAGAGTGTTCTTCGGATTGATGGAGAATAGACAGTGGATGTTTATATATATGGAACCTTTTTGAAAAGGGTTCTTTTATTGTTACAAGCTTGAAGTCGTACCAATAGTAGAACCCTTTTTGATACTGTATAGAACCCTTTTTCAAAAAGGTTCTATATAGAACCATACACAACATTTATCTGTCAGTCTAAAGAACCATTTCACCCTGCGAAGAACCCTTTAAAGATGCAAAGGGTTCTTTGAGTGTTCATGGTTCTATATAGAACTATTCTCTGTACTAAAGAACCCTTGAAGAACCATTTAAGAATGTAGTGTTCCCATAGAAACATCAACAGTAAATTTTCACAGCAGGCAGGTAGAGGTTCCTCCACCTTCACACTGAAGACACTCTCTCTCTCTCTCTCTCTCTATATATATATATATATATAATTTTCCATTTATTATTATCATTATTATTATTATTATTATTATTATAATGATCAGGATGATAATAACAATAACAAAAATAATAATAATAACAATAGTAAGAAGTGCCGTCAAGTCATTTCTAATGCCTGGTCCATATGGAAACTTCTCCACGATATCCGGTCTTCTTTTACTCCGTGGAAGTACCTTTTTTTCATCATGTGTTTGTGATTAGTGAGTTATACACTCACACTGGAAGTTTTTTACACACATCCTAATAATCTGTTAATAATCCAACTAATAGCTCAATCAGAATAGAATATGTCCGTGTAAACACCTCAGAAGCAGTCAGAATAGTCTAGTCTGATTGAGGCCATCCGGAATACAGTTTCTATCCGACTGATCGAGGTGGATAATCCTGTAAATAATCCGTTAAATAGAAGAATAATACCCATGTAAACGCCTGTATCTGATTACATTCCCTATCGGAAAGTTTAAGTCCGTTCTGATCATGTTCGTCGCGTCATAGTGAGAGTTTATACCGTTCAACATGGCGGAGCAGAAACTGGTCTGCAGAGGAGACGAAGTTTCTGCTCTGATCTTTAAAAGACGGCAGTGGGACGGACGTCCAGCTTATGTGTCTCAGAACACGACGTCTTCCTCTCGGCCTCCTTTAATAAGGACATGTGAAGGACGTTTTCCTGAGTCTGACATCATTTTAGAGTACTTAAAAACACAAGCGCTGCTCACTGCTGCTCATCTCACTCTGACTGGACGTGATGCTGGTTGTCATGGTAACGTCTACACTAAGTGGTTCTGTATGCATGAGCGTCATTTTTGGATGTGATTTCTTGTAGTGAGCATGTAAACAGAGATTACTCATCAGAGTGTTGAGTAGAGTGAGAATATAAACACCACAGTCCTCATCTATAATTGGAATGTGTTCAGTCGGACTGGAGAAAATCTTTGCATGTAAACACAGATTCATCAAAACATTCCATATACAGTCGTATGCAAAAGTTTGGGCACCCCTCGTCAAATTCCATGTTTTGTTGATTTAAGTGAAAGTACGTTAACATAAAATCGTCAAGGAACGCACTTAAATGTGACGTTTCTGCGGATTTTACTGCACAATTTATATGCATAACTTTTGCACAGGCCACATTTTATGTTTTATGTTCTCCTCAACATATTAAATTCAGCTAATAAACAGTAATTGTGTGTTAAAGTGTGCAGAAGTGTGTCTCTGTGGAGGATGTGTAACTCATTTTTATTTAAAATTAACAAAACGTGGTTTAAACTGGGATATTCAAGCTTTTGCTTACAGCTGTTTATCGTCTAATTAAAATCTATTTAAATTTTATCGTGCTGACATTTGCATCTTCTACTTTGTCGGTAAAATAAATTTGCCACATTGACACAGCGTCTTTTCAGAGCGAATAAATTCCTAAAAAGCTCATCGGGTTCAAACAACATAGATTTCCATTGAATTACATGTGTTTTGAATGGTTTACCAGGATTTTCAGTGACTTTTTTTAGGCCTTCTGTTGTGTTGCAGTGAATTTCGTCTATGGGGTTTGTTATAATGTTTGCAGAGATGTGTAGATTTATAAAACATTTATTAATCTTTCTCAGATGCTTTTTAAATTATTGATCAAAACACAAAATACATCAGCTTCCCCCCGTTCGTCCGCAGCCATGCTGCTGAGCTAACGCTTTTCAGGCCTGTTTTGGGGCTGCTCTCCCCCTCAGTGGGGGGGTTTCCTGACATGCCCTCCCGCTGTCCGTGTCTGATGTGGTCTGGAAGTGCGTTCGTGACTCTCCGACCATAAATATTAGACCCCTGTGTTAATGACTGTAAGAGGATTTTCTCTCTTTCAGCTGTTAATGTAAATTCCCCCTCCAGCTACGGCGCTGAGCCTGTGCTTTAATTTAAGGGTGGATGGGGGGGATGGTGTGGGGGTAAGGGCTGGACGCTTGGAGTGGTCATGTTTTGGCCCTTTTATGGTTTGTTTATAACTGTTCATATATATATATATATATATATATATATATATATGTGTACACATACACCGATCAGGCACAACATTCTGACCACCTCCTTGTTTCTACGCTCATTGTCCATTTTATCAGCTCCACTTACTATATAGGTGCACTTTGTAGTTCTACAGTTACAGACTGTAGTCCATCTGTTTCTCTGATACTTTGTTAGCCCCCTTTTACCCTGTTCTTCAGTGGTCAGGACCCCCATGGACCCTCACAGAGCAGGTACTATTTGGGTGGTGGATCATTCTCCGCACTGCAGTAACACTGACGTGGTGGTGGTGTGTTAGTGTGTGTTGTGCTGGTGTGAGTGGATCAGACACGGCAGTGCTGCTGGAGTTTTTAAACACTGTGTCCACTCACTGTCCACTCTATTAGACGCACCTGCGTTGTTGGTCCACCTTGTAGATGTAAAGTCAGAGACGATAGCTCATCTGCTGCTGCACAGTTTGTGTTGGTCATCCTCTAGTCCTTCATCAGTGGTCACAGGACGCTGTTGGCTGGATATTTTTGGTTGGTGGACTATTCTCAGTCCAGCAGTGACACTGAGGTGTTTAAAAACTCCAGCAGCACTGCTGTGTCTGATCCACTCAGACCAGCGCAACACACACTAACACACCACCACCACGTCAGTGTTACTGCAGTGCTGAGAATGACCCACCACCCAAATAGTACCTGCTCTGTGAGGGTCCATGGGGGTCCTGACCACTGAAGAACAGGGTAAAAGGGGGCTAACAAAGTATCAGAGAAACAGATGGACTACAGTCTGTAACTGTAGAACTACAAAGTGCACCTATATAGTAAGTGGAGCTGATAAAATGCACAATGAGCGTAGAAACAAGGAGGTGGTCAGAATGTTATGCCTGATCGGTGAAAATGTCTGAGCAGTGATGTTTCGATTTGGGCTATTAAGGTTGATTTGGGGAAATTCCAGAGATCCTTTATCCTGTACGAATCGGCCAGTCAAATCACGCAAAATTATGTTACCGGACTTCCTCTGGTCAAACTAATCCCGCTCAAACAGGGCTTCACTCAGTCAAGTATCTCAGAAGCTACTTAACACAGTTACGTGGATCCACTTGGCATAACATTTTAAAGAATCTAAATTTGCAGATTTAAAGACACACTTTCCTTTGTGTAGTTTAAACCTTAAAGCTTTTTCTGGCTTTTAAATCAACTTGATAGCCATTGTGATGCAAACTGTCTGCGATTCCCAGTACTGTCATCAGCCCAGCCCAACCTGGAGAGGCTGTAAAGCCACCAGAGTAAGTTGTTCCGTTGGATAAATCTCAGTGGAGTTGGTGGACTAATCCCCCAAACTGTAAACAATCGAGGACATTACAAATACTTAACACTGCTTGGGTGGTTCTGACCGTTCTGCTGTCTAGACAGAGGCAGTGTCCTCACCACAGACTCTCATCAACTTTGAAAGAAACTCAGATTTATGGCGGATTACGGCTGCCTTGAACGGTTACGTAAAAACCAGGAGGCATCGCGTAATTTGCTGGGATTAAAGGGGACGGGACCTCACAGCTGGACAGCTGATGGAGGGGGCGGAGTCAAGCGGCAGCGCTCTGACCTAAAGCTGTACTCCAGCTGGACCGCAGCAGAGTCAGCTGAGACAGAGCACCCTCGCGGAGTCTGGAGGAGCGTATTGCTCCACGCAGAGCCGTCGAGATGATGTTCTGCACCACCTTCCTGTCCGCTCCCTCCGAGGAGCTGCTGGACGGCGGGTCGGATTTGAGTGGCTGCCTGACGCTCCTGCACTGCCTGGTGCTCCCGGAGGACGAGCTTTGCGCTTCCCTTTCGGAGCCCGCTGCCCGCCTCTCTTTGAGCCCCAGCGAGCACTCCTGTGGGCTCATGGGTAAAGTCCTGCTCAATGCCAGCTTGGGGGCCGTGGACGTTGGTGGGCCTGGCAGCCTTTTAGACCCGTGGCCGCCCGTTCGCAGGCCTCCAGAGCAAGAGGACGGAGGTAGGTCGGTCACTCAGGGATGCAGTTTCGTGAGGGCTGTTTACTTCAGTAGACCCAGCAGGTAGTCATTCTGCTGTTGGAGAACAATTTGGATGAGATGTAGAAAACCAAAAATTTAATGGTAATTGTTTTCTATAAATTAATGTTTTTTGTTTTTGTTTTCTTTGTTTGTTTGTTTGTTTGTTTTTGGGTGAATAGCACCAGCCTTTTTTCCTGACTTGAACGCCGAACATTGTGCAAATGGTATCTAGTCAAGTAAAATTATCTTAAATATAGTCAATAAATCTAATATTTCTCCTGTCGAGATTGTTCTAAGATTAATTTAAGATTATTTTCCTTATTTCTACATATTGTTCACTCGTTTTCAGTAATTTCATGAAGTAAAATTTTCTCACCATATTGGCAGATATTTTGCTTGTTTTAAGAAATGTGCCAGCAAAATTATCGGCCAGTATAGTGAGATAATTTTACTTAATAAAATTACCTAAAATAATTAAAATTGTCTAGGAATAAGGAAAATAATATAGCTAATAATATAGCTAATTTTCACGAGTCAATTCGAACTAAAATAATATTAAAACATAAAAAGGAGTGACAGGTTGTGAGTGATGCATCATTGCCAGCAGCCAAGACAGTCAGCTTTCATTTAGTTTTTGCCTGAAATTGATTAATAACATGGTTTCTGTGGACTGAGCTAAACAGGCATCTACAAATTGTATCAGAAGTGGCAATTATTGGGGTCCAAGCACTGTAAACCACTGTAGAGCCTGTAGAACACAAGTGATGGTAGTTTTTAGAACAGCCTCAATTTATATTAAATGTGGGGTCTCAAATGGAGATGTCTGCCGAATGTTGTTCACACTGACCTTTTGACCTTGGTATGGTAGGCAGTGGATTCCACCCGAAAATGTACGGAAAAATTCCATTTTGGACATAACTTTATATTTCGCTGCTTTTGCTACAAAAACCTTGTAGGAACTGCGTTTTTGTTGTTTCGCATTTTTTGACACTGTGATTAATGGAAGAATTGGTCAGACATTGTCAAAAAACCTGTTCCATTAACTCACATTTGAGGTTAAGAGAGTTTTCTTGAGGGGCAGTTGTGGGCTGGAGGTTAGTGAACCAGCCCTGTGACCGTAAGGTCACCAGTTAGATCCCCTGAGCCAACAGTATGTGACTGAGGTGCCCTTGAGCAAGACACCTAACCCCCAACTGCTCCCTGGGTGCCGTGGCTAGGGCTGCCCACCGTGCCAGGCAAGTGTGCTCACTGCCCCCTAGTGTCTGTGTTCACTAGTGTTTATGTGGTGTTTCACTGCATGGATGGGTTAAAATGCAGAGGTGAAATTTCCCTGTTGTGGGACTAATAAGGGTCAGGTAATCAAATTGTTTTCTCTCTTAAAGGTATCATTTTGGAGATATGAGGATAAGAGGTTTTGTCCTGACAGCGACAGTTTGTTGGACTAAATAATTCTCAGTATTTTAGTCTCAGTGCACCAGAATTTTCCTGTCAAAATCACTAAGATTTGCTTCTAATTCCGATGCAGCACTACAGGAAACTTGTTCCCGAACCTTTTCACTGCTTGAGTTTTTACATCTGAAATGTTCTACACACTATATAAAGATGGTTCTTCAAGGGTTCTGTAGTTCTGTTTAGAACCATGAGTTTCAAACACTTTAAAAAGAAAACATTTTTTAAAGGGTTCTTTAGTAAAGGGAATGGTTCTGTTTAGAGCTATGGGTTTTATATAGAACCTTTTCATGCTTAAGTGGTTCTTTGCATGGTGAAATTGTTCTCCAGATTGATGGAGAATGTGTTGTGTATGGTTTTATGTAGAAGCTATTTGAAAATGGTTCTATATAGTAATAAAAAGTGTATATAGCAAGAAAAAGGGTTCTGCTATTGTTACGATGTCAAGCTTGTAACTATAGAACCCTTTTTGGTGCTATATAGAACCATATACAACAAATTCCCCATCAATCTGAAGAACCATTTCACCAAGAACCACTTAAGCATACAAATTGTTCTGAATGGATTCTCTTTACTAAAGAACCATCTTTTTAAAGAATGTAGTACACAATTTCGTAAAGTTGAACTGTGATTTGAAAATTACACTCTTTCAAGTTGCGCTTTCGATATTCAAGCGATTAATTTTGCAGCTAATCCAACCTAATAGGACCATTTCCAAAATTGCATAATCTTTATGTTCTGGTTTACAGGACCCACTTTACCGATGGCAACGGTGGACATCAAGAACCCTGAGATCAACAACATTCGCTACAACAACAACGTTCAAGTCAACAGCAACCTGCACAGCAACTTCAGGAAAGACAAGGCCAAGGGCAAAAACAAGAAGAAGAAGATCTCCAAGGCTGAAATTGGCACACCCAGCAATTTCCGGTGGGTCTCTGCTTTCTGTACGCTGTCCTTTTCGTAGGGAAGTAGCAGCCTGTGAACTTCTCACATCATTTTTTCTCATGGATTGCCTCGATTTTCCTTCTGGAGCCTGTAGCGTTGCACTGAAGGGCCTCTGTCATGGAAAAATAGTATATAAACACTGTTAGTTTCAAAAAGCATCATTCTCTCCCCCAGTTCAGCTCATATATGGCAAATATGCTGCCGCCTGTTTTGAAAACATTGTTTTTGTGATGTCACAAAATCAGCTTTTACCTATATCCTCTTTATTATTATTATATCCTCCTTATTTATTTATTTATTTCATTAAATGAGGTACAGTAGGCAAGGCAAGTTTATTTATACAGCACCTTTCGTACACTGCTGTCATTCAAAGTGCTTTACAGATGAGAAAATAGTCAAATACAGTTAAAAAAAAGGTAAATAAAAGAGTAGAAATTAAGAACATGATTAAAACAATAGATTTAAAGGAGAAAAAAATTATAAGAAATAATCATAAGATAATTAAAAAAATCCAATTAAGAAAAAATTATTAAATTAAGATGTAGAGCAGCCAATGAGAAGAGAGGTCATTTACATATATTAGTCTTAAAGTCACAGTACTACAAACAGCCTGTTTAAATGTAAGAGGTTGGAAAATGATCATGTTTAAATGATATTTTTGGTACATAAAACAACGTAAACGCCCGACCCGACCTGACCCGCTTTTGGTACCAGCTATTTTGTTTTCCACTGTAGATATAGCGCCCCCTCAATGTAGATGATCATCATAGCGACACTGCACGAATCTGCCGTGACATAAAGGAGACAAATTTTAATAAGAAAGAAATCTAAAAAAGTTTTCTAACTGTAAATAACATTTAACACAAGACCTGCAACAACAACACATGATGTGGTTTCATTGAGTTCTTTTCCTTCCCGGCTTTACTCTCGTCCAAAATCCTAAATATAGGTAATAAAAATATAAAATATAAAAATAATGTCTAATGTCTCATTATAAGACTGTTGTAAGAATAGTATAAGATTATTTTACTTATTTCTATGCATTTTTGCTTGTTGTAAGTAATTTTACTTATTTCTTAAGCAAAATTATAAGAATTTATTTCTCAAAACAAGAAAAGTTCAATGTTCAGAAGAGGCTGAGAAGAGAAAGACAAAAGTCTCCTGGAAAAAAAAAAAAAACAGGAGAGTTGGGGGAAAAACCACATCAGAGTTCAGACGATGAGACGATTCTGGTTGATCAAAGGCGACGCAAGAGGCTGCGCTAACCTGGTGGCTAACATTAGCATATATGTTTAGGGTGATAATGATTCTCTCCGACCAATCAGCTCCGCAGTTTCTCCATGTCATCTTCCGGTATTGGCTCAGCTCACTTGGAACCTCAGCGGACATGATACCAAAAATAGTACCAGGTACCAGGTTTGCCAGATGGAGAACCAGAAAAGGAGAGTCGAGCCTGTCCAGAAGTTATGGCTCACTTTATATTTTCCGCTTTATTTAGGTAAAATATACCAAATAGTTAGAAATTATGCACTAAAATTTGCAGAAAAATGCCATTTTTGAGTCTGTTTCCTATTGAATAGAGTTGTGTTGGCTTATTTTCACAGAACATGTCATTTGACTGGGGGTGTTCAAACTTTTGCATACTACTGTACAAGGGGGTAAGAAAATATCGATACGCTTGAGTATCGTGATAATATGCTTTGTGATACTGTATCAATTCCCAAAAAACCCAGTATCGATTTTTATTTTAATTAATAGTTTCCATGCAAAGATTTACCTGTTTATTCTTTTAATGCTGGTAACATTTTTCTAAGGAGATTTAGACGAGGCTGAAGTCGACTTCCTGTTTGCCAGCCTCTTGTTCAAATTTTCCTGTTCCACCTTAAATGGTGCAGCAGTTGCTATCACACAGAGTGTAACTTCTGCACCATTTAAAGTGGAACGGGAAAAATTGAAGAAGAGGCTGGCGAACAGGAAGACTAACAATAATAATAATAATAATATAAAATACTATTATTTTATTATGCTTACTATACTGTGGTTTTTATTTACTTATATTACACTAATATAGGCAGATATTAATTCCATTGTTCTGATTGCACCAAAGTAGTGCTGTGATGTTGATGTTACAGCGATAAATGCAAATCCCACATTTGCATAAAAAGTAGATTTTTTTCATTTTTATTTTTTTATTTTAATGTGTATGGTGGTGTGTTTTTTATAATATGACAGTTTTTCTAAAATAATTTTTAAAAAATCACAATGTATCGCATTGCTTACAATATCACAATATATCTCAATATATTGTTATGATGTGTATCGTATCACCAGTTCACAGCCCTGCTACTGTAAGCGAACGTTGGACATGAAAAAATAAAATACATGAACATAAACGTGAGAAATGGGTGCTTTTAATGCCGCAGGTTTACGACGACTGACTTTAGCGTGATTCTTGGACGAAATGTACTGGATGATACGTATAGGATTAATAATCTGATTTACTTTCCTCCTAATCCTGAGTAATGTCTCGTATGAGTGCCCACCCTACATAATCTGGAGCCTGTGCTTCAGGAAGGGGTTACAGTCGTGTTGGTTCTTGTGTGGCGGCTCCAGCTTGATGGTGACCAGATTTGACCTTAATCTCAGCGTCGGTCTCATCGCGTGTTTGTTTTTCCCTTTCAGGCATATTGGGCACGTAGGCTGGGATCCTAACACGGGATTTGACGTGAGTATTTCTGTAATGATGTGTTTGCGATGATGCCTTTAATGCAGGGATGCTCAACCACTCGGGCCGATACTGAGTGGTCCGTATGGGGCCGGTTGTCATGTTTGAAAATCAGTCTAAACGTGTAAAATTAATAAGAAGGAAATATAAGATGTTTTCAAACGGTAAGCAGCATTAACATAAGATCTGATCTCTCGACTTTTCACTCGCCCACTCGTGAGCAACTTTTTATTTGTTTATTTATTTTTAGGATCCCCATTAGCTGCTATTGTGATAGCCGCTATTCTTCCTGGGGTCCAGTAGACAAATCACACATAACAAAAATAGTGCAGTAACAATTAACAAAACAAAACACAAGAGTAAAAAATCAAGAAAAACAAAAAAAAAAGACTGAGAGAGGAAAAAAAGGAAACTGAAAAATAAAAAATAGACAGTGTAACCATAACATAACATAGGAAAGACAATTGAAAACTGAAAAATCATACTGAAAGAAAAGATCATGTGTATATTTACAAAAACTTTATTTGACTGTATTCTGGTAAATATCTACATTCCTGCCACCTCCACCACAGTGTTGTTCCAGCTGTCAAGGACTGATCAACTTAACTGATCTCTAAATTTGTTAAATAGTGTTTTTTTTTTATCAGCTTTTTTTTATTTTACCCTCAATTTTAAGCAGTAGACCGGTAGGGAATTTAGCAAGTGAAAACATCTTAAATGTAGTTAATATATCGCGCCGGTCGGCACAAAATCTCACATCTCCATTTTTGTCCTTTTTCAGTTTTTAATATAATGTGAAAATGCCCGTTGCTCTTTATATTGTGTGTAAATTTCATGAAGAATGGACCAAAAGAAACGACCAAAAATCACTTGGAAAAAACTCTGATTCCATTGACTTACATTAAAAGTAAAGTATGTTTTTTCCTTCTCCTGTAAAGTTACCATTTTGGAGATACGAGGTTTTCATCCGACAACAGCGATATCTAGTATTTCTCATTATAAGAAATTGAGAAAATGTAGTTAATATATCTAATATTTCTCATTATGAATTGTAAGAATATTATAAGATTACTTAACTTATTTCTAGACAATTTTACATAACTTTGTAAAAAAAAAAAAGTGTCATATTCCTTTGGCAGATCATTTACTTGTTTTGTTTCTTAAAATAAGCAAAATTATCTTCATTATTTCTCAAAACAAGAAATGATCTGCCACTTTCACTACAAACAATTACTGAAAACAAGTAAAAATGTATAAAAACAGGTGGAATAATCATAGAATATTCTTACAATGAGAAATATTAGACATATTAACTACATTTAAGATTTTTTCATTTGCTAAGATATCATTTTTTGCAGTATAAAATGTGTTAATTTTATACCGCTCTGCTTGATTTCTGGTGTTAAACAAGCTGATGTTCATCTAATCTGCTGATATTTTGAACACATTTATAGCCTGACGTTAAGATCAAAAAGGGACAGAGAAATATCTTCACCTTCCTTTCGTTTGCTTCCAAAAATTAGAATACAGAGTTGGGTTACGACTGGTTTCTAGGTCAATATAGTTTTATTATATAATATATCCTTAATTGTAATCTATTTCAATCATTTTCCCCTTTTATTATATTCTGAAAAAATCCCATCTTGACTGAGTTTCGCCTCCTGGACATTGGAATTTGACCTAAAGCTACAAATCCAAAAGTTTTTTTTCCTTTTTCAAATTTTTTTTTTTTTAAGATGAACTTTTGGTTTCTGATGGGGCTCAAGTGGATGATCTGATCTACAAAGCTGTTTTTCAGGTCGTGACGCTTAAATTTTTGGTTAGCACTTAATAAATAAAAAAAGAATTAAGAAGTTTTTAAGCATTTTTTTCTTCCTGCTGCTCTTCATGCTTTCTGGTGAAAAGCACACTCTAAAAAAAGATGGTTCTTCAAGGGTTCTTTAGTGAAGGCAGTGGTTCTATATAGAACGATGAACATTCAAAGAATCATCTGCATGCTTAAATTGGTCTTTGCATGGTGACATTGTTCTTTTAGATTGATGGAGAATGTGTTGTGTATGGTTCTATATAGAACCAAAAACAGTTCTGCTCTAGTTATGATGTCAAGCTTGGCATGTAACACTCAAATTTTTGGTTCTATATTTACGCAATAGAACACAGAGGGAGTGTGTATCGCGCAATAACATCATGGCTGTGATTTGGTCGCCGTAGATCATCACAGCCGTGATGTTATTGGCGATAACACACTCCTCGAGTGTTCTACTGCTTTTATACAACAGTTAAATAAATAAAGTAATAAATTAATAAACTGGGCCGTGAACGCGGCGTTTAATATGTTTTAATGTTCGCAGTTCCTTCACCAAATTATAGTTCCTTAACGAGCAGCTTGTTGCTACGTCAGAGTAACGAGCTCCGCCCACTCGCTGCACAGCCAGCAGTTCGTTCTCCAGCTCCTTACACTAAATTCCCAAACTGTCATCACCACTGAGCAGCTTTTCAGTCGGCAGCTGAGACAGAAGAACAGCTGAACAACCTGGAATCAGCCAGAAATGAACCCAACACCATTCGCCAAACGTGTAGTCTGATCTTCAGAGTCTGACCAAATCAGACTGAGCCATAAAACTGCCACAATATCAAGTTCAGCTCAGTTTTGTCAGTTTTTGCCAGATCAGTATTAATGTTGTTTTGTTCCAGCCGGTCTGTAAAGCATCTTACAGCCCATTTAGTTTGGCGAATGGTGTTGGGTTCATTTCTGGCTGATTCCAGGTTGTTCAGCTGTTCTTCTGTCTCAGCTGCCGACTGAAAAGCTGCTCAGTGGTGATGACAGTTTGGGAATATAGTGTCGTCTCATCTTCAGAGTCTGAGCAAATCGGCTGTCGGTCAAATGTGATCTTAAAAGTGTCCATTTTCTGTTTGTGGCAAAGTAAGAAGTAAAAACGTTCAAATGTCTTGAGCGTCTCCTACAGCTGTCAAAGTCGTTGCTTCGCAACGGCGTCTCAGCGGAGTGATGCAGTGTTTGTGAAAGAAACTAACTGTTGTATAAAGAACCATTTTCAAAAAGATAGAGCCGTTATTACTCGAGTTATTATTAGAGAGTTATTACTTTAATTTTCCTGTATTATTCAAATATAATTACATAATTACCAGTGGTGAACCGTGACTGTTTGATCTAGACCTTCAGTCTAGCACTCCTATGGGATTCTAATAGCATGTTAGCACTGAGTTAATGGTGATTCACAGTAACGTTTTCAGCCGTTATAGATTAAACACTGACATTTGAAAATATATTCTAATATCAGCTAAAGGCTTTAAATAAAACAAAGAATATCTTGAATCTTTTGTAAAAAGGTTCTCTATAGCACCAAAGTAGGGTTCTTATATTGTTACAAGATTGACTTTGTAACAATAGCCAAATTCATTTTTGGTGCTGTAGAGAACCATTTTCAAAAATTTTCTGTATAGAACCGTAACACATTCCAATCTATCTGAAGAAGTTTCACCATGCAAAGAACCATTTAAGCATGACAAAGTTCTAAGTAGAACCACAGCCTTTCTTCAAGCTTGATATCATAACAATAGCAGAATGCCTTTTGGTCCTATATAGAACTATTTTCAGAAGGTTTCTACATAGAACCAAACACAACACATTCTCCGTCAATCTGAAAACAATTTTACCATGCAAAGAACAATTAAAGCATGCCATACTTCTATACAGAACTCGTGGTTCTAAGTAGAACCATTCCCCTTACTAAAGAACCCTTGAAGAGCCATCTTTTTTTTACGTGTGTAGAACTCATGGTTGTAAATAGAACCTAAAGAACTCTTTGGTGTGCTTTGAGGTGGAAAAGGTGGAGAACCCCCTGCTATAATGCGTAGCCGATGCCTCTGATGCCTCTGATGCCGCTGATGCCGCTGATGCCCGGATCCTCACATGCCGGCACATCTGTTTACCCGAAAATGATTCAGAGGAGCTTTCGTGCGGAACTCGTCCCCCATATTACACAATGAGATTTGAAGAAAGGGGAAAATGACAGATCATCGTAATCCAGTCAGTCGTCCTCCAGAAGAGGAGCTCGTATTCAGCTCGTTGAGTCACTCGCAGGGTCTTTGCTGACGTCAGATCTGTGGGGATGAATTTTGAGCAGGAGATTATTTAAAGGAGATTTGTTTCATTTTTACTCCTGGATTTCTGCAGGATGGGGTTTCAGTACCTGGATCAGTGCCAACATACAGGGATAACGTTCGCATAGCCGTCAATAAATGTCAACTTTTTGGGTGGATTTCTCCATAAATGGTCATTTTGGCTCATAGCAGGACATACATGGAGATACAAATGAAAATATTTATAACTGGAGTGCTTTTTGTGTTCAGTCATTAGCCAATGACAGCAACAACAACAACAATAATAATAAATATAGCCGCAAGCGGCAATTTGCGGGGTCCAAGCTTGCTTTGCAAGTTCGCCCAGCATTGGCCGATGGTTTTTCAAATAAAAGTTTGTTTGTTTTTGACCAAATAAAAAAATCAGTAAATAAATATAATGTGAACAAAGCAGTTTGATGTTTTTGAAAGATTAATATTCACGTTGGATGGCTGACAAAAATTTTGCGAGACTTTCTGCACTGTAAAAAATGATCTCTTAGAAGGTGAAATCATCATAAATGTAGTAATATGTCTAATTTCTCATTATTAGACTGTTGCAAGAACATTATAAGATTATTTTACTTATTTCTGCACATTTTTACTTGTTTTAGGTAGTTTTATCTTAGGAAAGTGTTTTATTCCATTGGCAGATCATTTACTTGTTTTAAGCATTATTATTATTATTATCTTCATTATTTCTCAAAACAAGAAATGATCTGCCACTGAAATCAGTTTCATAAGATAAAATTACCTAAAATATTGAAAAATGTGTAGATATAAGTTAAATAATCTTGTAATATTCTTTAACGTCTCACAATGAGAAATATTAGATACGTTAACTACATTTAAGATGTTTTCATTTTCTATGATATCATTTTTGCTGTGTGTGATGGTTATAAAAGTCTGGAATCCTGTAATCATTCTTTCTGTAGTCAGGTTTAATGTGGACATTAAGTGATCCCACTGCTGAGTCTCATTGCTTTATATGAACTGACCGGTCATGTATCATGAGTAGCCCAAACTCCGACTCCTCCACAAGATGGCAATGCAGAAACAGTCACGTTTGATCGTGTGTGCAGCCACAGCAGCAAACTAATAGATTAAACTCTCAGCTTTTCTCAAGTGACCGATAAAATATGTCAAGCAGTTTCCAGAATAATATGGTCAGTGTATAAAGTTTGGGCACCTCTAGTCAAATTCTATGTTGTTGTTGTTTATTTTCTGAGTGTAAACAAGTTAGACATCCTCTACAGAGACACACTTTCGCACATTTTAATGCACAATTACTGTTTATTTACTGAATTTAACATACTGAGGGAAAAGCCCAAAACAATTAATATGCTAAATTATGCAAATAAGCAGTAATTTTGTATTAAAATGTGCAGAAGTGTGGATCACTTATAAAATCAGCACAACATGTAATATGACCAGAGGTGCCCAAACTGCATTCGACCGTGTACACCAGGGGTCAGCAACCCAAATGTTTATAAGAGCTGTTATGTGCCTTCAACAAACATTTTATATTCATTTTACCATCTTGGCTGTAAATATGTCTCAGTATGTTATAACGACCTAGTAAAATATACAAACCTACAAATCTAATTCTGCTGTGGAGCCACAACAGGGCAGTAAAAGAGCCGCATGTTGCCGCCCCCTGATACACACAAAGCTGGTGCGACAATTTAAAATTAGGATCTGGGCCAAAATGTCCTGACTGGGTTTTCTACCATTACTCAGTATTACAAACATCATGTTTGATTATGATTAGTAAAGTTAGTAAATGAAAAGCTTTTACATGTGTTTAGGGTTTCAAACTGTATAGTTTGTATGGAGAAACAAATTTTCCTCACGTTTTTGAAATGTACCATGCCTGAACCTTCTCAGGTTAATAACCTGGACCCCGAGCTGAAGAACCTCTTTGACATGTGCGGCATTTCCGAGGCCCAGCTGAAGGACAAGGAGACGTCGAAGGTCATCTACGACTTCATTGAGAAGAAAGGAGGAGTGGAGGCTGTGAAGGATGAGCTGCGGAGACAAGGTAGGACCTTCATTCAGCCGTTTGGTTTGTGTGAAGGTGCCTAAGAAAAGTGTGTGTGTGTGTGTGTGTGTGTGTGTGTGTGTGTGTATGTATGTACATTACCGAGTCAGAATTGTTCACAGTGGTGGTGATAGGAACCAGACGTCCACCTCTAAAAGCTGATGGAGTTTGGCTTTATGTAAATTCTGGATCTCGTCTTCCAGAGATGCTCTAGATACTCAGTGCAGCTCTGGCTGTGATGCTCTGCTTTGTTTGATGTTTGTACAGCTGTTTTGTTGTTATTGGTCTGAACACCTTCAGTAAAGCTCTCAGTAAAGCTCATAGTGCTCAGCCTTCAGACTAGGGCCGCAACGAACGACTAATTCGATGGTCGAATAATCTGTCGATTACCAAAACGAATGATCAATTATTCAGATGATGAATCACTAAATTCCCAAATAACTCTTATGCAGCTGTGAGCTTTTAAATTTGTGCCGATATAAAAATGTAACACGATCAGTTGGTATTTGTAGAGTTTTAAATGTACAAAAACTCAATTGTGCCTTAAACTCAGCTCAGTAAAAAGCTTCGCTCCACACTTGAGAGACTTTTCACCATTTTTCTTTGTTTACTTGCTGTATTTTCATCTTTCCTGCTGTTTATTTGGCATGCTGTATATTTATGTTGTTTTGAAATTGGTTTTTATCAAAGTTTCAGGTTCACAAAAGTAGTGGATAAAATAGTAAATCATCGCTACTTTCTAGAACTGCTGCAGCAACTTCAGCAGCTGCAAGTCAAGTCAAATTTATTTGTATAGCGCTTTTTACAACTGATGTTGTCACAAAGCAGCTTCACAGAAATCCATTAAGGACAAAAGCTCGTACGTCAAGTGCGCACATGCATATTTATAGTATTATGGTAATATAATTTAAAAAAAAAATGAAATTTTCTAAGTATTGTTGGAAAACTTTCTTGCTTACATTTTGTTCTTTTCTTTCTCAAGCTCCTCCTCCTCCTCCTCCCTCCAGAGGTGGCCCGCCTCCTCCCCCTCCACACAGCTCAGGGCCCCCTCCCCCACCCCCTGCTCGGGGCAGAGTAGCACCACCCCCGCCTCCTCCCTCTAGAGCTCCCCACTCGGCGCCTCCTGCGCCTCCTCCTCCACCTCCTTCCAGACCCGGGATGGTTGCACCTCCGCCACCCCCAAGCAGAGGACACCAGCCAGCTCCTCCTCCGCCTCCTCCTGCGCCAGCCTCCATAGCCCCACAGACTCCGCCTCCTCCACCTCCTCCATCCTCTGGAGCACAGCCGCCTCCTCCACCTCCCCCGCCTCCGGGACCACCTCCACCTGCACCTCCTCCTCTCCCAGGGATGGACTCAGGGGATGGTCCGCCCTCTCTGGGCGGCGGCAAGTCTGCTCTCCTGGAGCAGATCCGAGAGGGGGCGCCGCTGAAGAAAGTGGACCAAGGGAACAAACCGTCGGCAAACAGCGGCGGACGAGGTGCACTCTTAGACCAAATACGGCAGGGGATCCAGCTCAAAACTGTGAGTGACGTGTTTGATTTATATATTTATGCATAATCTAGCAATATAGTCTTATTTTGTACTACGTTAGTACTGCATTTCTAGCTGCACTACATTACTCTGTGCATTACATTCATACTACACTACTCTCTCTAGCTGTACTACATGAGTACTGGACTACTGTCTTTGGCCGTACTGCATTACTACATGTACTACATTAGTACTGCGCCACTCATTTATATGCACTACCTTAGTACATGTACTACATTGGTACTTCACCATTTTCTCTAGATGCAGTACATTACTCCGAGTACTGCATTATTACTACACAACTGTCTTTATCTATACTACATGTACTACATTAGTACTGCACCACTATTTTAGCTACACTGCATCGCTACATGTACTACATTAGTACTGCGCTATTTTAGCTGCACATGTACTATTTTAGTACTACACCACTATTTTAGATTCACTATGTACTATTTTAGTACTACACCACTATTTTTAGCTGTTCTACAAGTACATTAGTACTACACCACTACTTTAGCTACACTACATGTAACACGTCAGTACTACACCACTATTTTTCTAGCTGTGCTACAAGTGCTACATTAGTACTACACAACTATTTTAGCTTCAGTACATTACTACATGTAGTACTTTAGTACTACACCTATTTTAGCTGCACTACATGTACAATATTAGTACTACACCACTATTTTAGCTGCTCTACCTGTAATATAATAGTACTATACTACTATTTCAGATTCACTACATGTACTATATTAGTACTACACCACTATTTTAGCTGCTCTACCTGTAATAGTACTATACTACTATTTCAGATTCACTACATGTACTATATTAGTACTACACCACTATTTTAGCTGCTCTACCTGTAATAGTACTATACTACTATTTCAGATTCACTACATGTACTATATTAGTACTACACCACTATTTTTTAGCTGTGCTACAAGTACTACATAAGTACTACACAACTATTTTAGCTTCAGTACATTACTACATGTAGTACTTCAGTACTACAACTATTTTAGCTGCACTACATGTACTATATTAGTACTACACCACTATTTTAGCTGCTCTACCTGTAATATAATAGTACTATACTACTATTTCAGATTCACTACATGTACTATATTAGTACTACACCACTATTTTAGCTGCTCTACCTGTAATAGTACTATACTACTATTTCAGATTCACTACATGTACTATATTAGTACTACACCACTATTTTTTAGCTGTGCTACAAGTACTACATAAGTACTACACAACTATTTTAGCTTCAGTACATTACTACATGTAGTACTTCAGTACTACAACTATTTTAGCTGCACTACATGTACTATATTAGTACTACACCACTATTTTAGCTGCTCTACCTGTAATATAATAGTACTATACTACTATTTCAGATTCTTTTCATGTACTATATTAGTACTACGCCACTATTTTTAGCTGCGCTACAAGTACCACATTAGTACTACATTAGTATTTTAGCTGCTCGACCTGTAATATATCAGTACTATACCACCATCTTCAGCTGTACTATATGTACTACTTTAGTACTACACCGCTATTTTTAGCTGGACTACATGTACTATATTAATACTACACCAGTATTTTTTGATGCAGTATGGACTGTTTTAATACGACACTGCTGTTTTAGCTGCACTACACTAGTACATGTGCTTCTTTGGTACTGCACCCCTTTTTCTAGCTGCACTACGTTACTACAGGTCCTATAGTATTACTACATGATCTTTAACTACATTACTACGTGTACTACATTAGTACTGCTATCTACACGACTCCTACATGCATTTTGTATGATGAGCAGATAAACCGTAATCATAAAATCACCAGGAGTTATTAATGTGTCATTTTTTTTAACCGTTCTCAGAAACCTGTTTAAACTCTGACTGCTGGATCGTTTGAAGATCAGTGTCAGACAGAAGTGAAAGTTAAACCTTTAACTGCCTCTTATGGATTATTACTGACTGTGTTTTTTAAATTATTATTATTTTATAGGTGTCTGATGCGGTAGATTCACCCCCGCCCCCTCCTGTCCCCTCAGCGGGAATTGTGGGAGCTCTGATGGAGGTGATGCAGAAGAGGAGCAAAGCAATCCACTCCTCAGGTGTGTTACTCACCTGAAAAGATGTCGCTCGGCACCTCCCTCTAAAAGCATCATTAACACGCATCTAATAAGCAAACATTACTCACTGCTGCCCCTAAAGGCACCAGTCAGAAATTTATTTATTTTTCAATTAATGTTTTTTAAGATTTTCCTCTTAAAAAATGTGGTTCTTCATGGGTTCTTTAGTAAAGAAATTGGTTCAATATAGAACCATGAACACTCAAAGAACCCTTTACATGATTAAAGGGTTCTTTGCATCGTGAAATAGTTCTTCAGATTGGTGGAGAATGCGCTGTATGTGGTTCTATATAGAAAAGGGTTCTATATAGCACCCAAAAGGGTTCTAGTCTTCTATTGTTACGATGTCAAGCTCATAACAAGGGAAGAACCCTTTTGGGTACTATATAGAACCATTTTCAAAAGGTTCTGTATAGAACCATGTATAGCACATTCATGCACATTTTTCATCAATCTGAAGAACCCTTTAATCATGCACTAAAGAACCCTTGAAGAACCATCTTTTTTGAGATTATTCTCAGACTTATTTGATTAATGTCCTTTATTTGTTCTCTTACTGAGGTAGGACTTTTTTCTTCTCTTCTCTGTGTACGAGAGTTCTGTGTCTTTCGCACTTGTCCCAAATACTTGAGTCCACATCCAGGACCGATTCTGGGTTCATTTGGGTTCCATACTGGGCTCATACTGGTTTGCTTTCACACACAAGAATTCCGTCTGAACATGGATCAGTTGTGCAGTTCCACGCATCACCTTTCCGCAGGTTTGCTGGACGGTCAGCAGCTTCATCTATTCACTGCTTTTTATTATTTTCCCTGGATACAAACACTGAATCGGTGAAGAGCAGCTCTTTCGGTCCACAGCCGTCCTCTCCCCGTCACCACACTCCAAAAAGGGAAGTGATGCGCTAAGTCGAAGTGGTCACGTTACAAAATGAACCGGTCTCCCAGCCCCATACGTGTAGCGGAGAGCTTCCACACGTGCAGCGGACCCACCAAAGCTCGCTGGAAGTGAAACCCAGACCATCGATTTGAGGAGGACCAGAGATCCGTTCTCGGTTCCGCCCCCGGGCTTGAAAACAGCTTTCACACTCAACCAAATGTACCAAACCCAGAGCGAGTGGTCATGGGTTTAGAAAAAAGCGCCACAAATTGTTGCAAGGGCCATATTAAAGATCTCTACACACCTGTGGGCCACAGAACGCCTGCGTTTTTATTTCATCTATAATTAATGTTCTGCTGTAACCCAAACTGGCCACTGTTTATTCAAAATACACAAAAACTTCAGCAGTAAAATACAGGCACTTCTTGTAGACCTTAAAATATCATATGAATACTTAAAATACTCAAAATGTAAACGTTTCTGGGTGCTCAGTCCTTTAAACCTACCAATTTGCTTGAACTGGTCCTCTGGGATCTTTTCTCTGCTGCAGGTTGATTAAGACTGGGGCTCAGTTTCTGAGCTGCTGAGCTGACGTTAGGTGTAAATAAAGCTAGTGTGTTTGGTGATGTGACTGGTGTGGAACTGTGTAGAGTTGAGGTGTAACTGCTGTCCCATAGACTGTTGTTGGGGTAGGAGAGTCAGAGCACACATTACGTTGCAGTGCATGCTGGGGACTGTAGTGCAGCGTACTGTGAAACGGGCTAATATGAATAGAAAATGAAAATACTGGGCCGGACAGGATTGATCTGGCCTTTGTTTGACTCAGGGGTTCTAGCTGTATCAGAGATTTCTGTTTGAACAGAGAGAGATTTTATGCAGAAGATTAAAAGCAGAATTTTTAAACGGATTATATTCAAAAGAGACTTAAGAGAGTCTGCAGTAACCCGGTCGCTCTCATTAAATGAGTCGCTCTCATTGCTCATGCAGGTTGGGGCTTTTTAAGAGTCTCTCTGGTTCTTCACTCACACAGTGTCTCTCGCTCTCGCTCTCTCTCGCTCTCCCTCCCTTTATTTGAGCCCCTGAGCGACGTCTGCCTGAGTCGCCACATGTGAGCCACCAGAGCTGCTAGAGTCACCAGAGCTCCATCTCTGTTGGCTGATCTGCAGCTCACCTGCTTGAACTGACCCTCCTGCTGCTGCTGCATAAACTCAGACTATCTAATTGACTGTTGCTCCACCTGTTTTTCCCGTTTTGTATTCTAATATTTTACACTAACGCTGTTTGCTATCTGGTGTGGTCCAGAGGAGGATGGGTTCCCCTTCTGAGTCTTGGTTCCTCTCAGTGTTTCTTCCTGTTGCTCTTAGGGAGTTTTTCCTTGCCACTGTCGCCATTGGCAACGCTCATGGGGGCTCGGACCCGGATTTTTCTTGACCTGACAGTGTGGATTTAGTGTATTTTTACTGTAGGCAGTTTAAAGTGTAACGTCTAATGTTAATCTCATCTCTCTGCAGACGACGATGACGACGACGATGACGTTGAGGACTTTGAAGAAGAAGATGAATGGGATGACTAACGACACTACACCCCCACCCCCTTTCTCAACCCACCCCCCCTTCGGCCCCAATTAAGACACTAAAATAGTTCCTGTCTCTCTAAATCTTACTCAGATTATAATGTAAATGTTCAGCTGGTTTGCTGTATATTTTTGTTGCCTTTAAGCTTTTTTTATTAATCTGTGCAATACCTCATTTCATCTGTAAAGGTTTGTCATGTTTTTTTTCTTCTCTGTAAAGTTTTTTTTTTTTTGTTCTCGTTCTCTTGGATTAACGTGCAATTTTACATCAAGTTTTCTTGATTTGTAGAGTTGAATGTTTTTTTGTTTTTTTTTTTGTTTTGTTTTTCGTTTATTTTTTCCATTATTCATCGAAGGTCTAAGGAACAAAGCTGAACGATCTTAATACTGAAACTTGCTATCGGAAGCGCGAGAACACTATTTTTTCATACCTTATTCTTCTGTAACTGACATCTTTCTTACTCGAATCCTAGTTTAGCGCCATTATTTTCTTACAGAATCAGCTTTTTTGGCGTGTTTAGCCCCCGCGGCTGATTTGTAAATTTACTCAGAGTTTAAGTCGGTTATATTTTTGCACGAACTGAAAGATTAAAATATTCCACGACGTGAGAACAGAGCATTATCGTGGTGGCATTTGCGGGGAAAAAAATGCTCAAACATGCTTTAGGATTCAATACAGCGACCCTGATTTGTTTTATCAGCCGGAGATCGAGGAGAAATATTGGTTTGTGTTTTATTTCTGACGTTCGGAGAGCGGATGGGTTATTTTAAGTCCATGTTGGAGCATTTATATGGGAAAAAAACAGAGTCGCGTCAGACATTCCTGCAGTTTGACTGCCGTACAGAGCCTTCATTCACGCTACTAATGGACGATGAGCTGTGGGAGATGCTTTACTAACCTCCTCATAGAGAAGCCAGTCAGACGTCATCACTGTTAACTGCAGGGTAAACGCCTCGGCGGGAGCGCCGGACATGTAGTCGCAGAAATATACTGTTTTTATCACTGCTGGATTATTAAGCCAGTCCGTGGATACTTAATAATTCTTTTAACGCTTATTGTTTTCTTTTTCAACTGGGGTTTAGATTTGCATCAGGACAGCGAAGCATTGGGAATTAGGTTAATTAAACTGTACACTCCAATAAATGTTATTTCCAGAACATTGGTGTGTGTAGTGATTGAATATCTCATCAGAACACTTAAAAAAAGATGGTTCTTTACCACAGAGGGTTCTGTGGTAAAGGGAATGGTTTGATTTATATATAGAACCACTGCATACTAAAATGATTCTTCACATGGTGAAATCAATCTGGTGTGTTGTTTTTGCACCAAAAAGGGTTTTTCCTATTGTTACGGTGCCAAGCTTGAACCAGGAGAAGAACCTTATTGTTGCCAAAACCAATGTAGGGTAGTACTGGGACCCAAGCCTGGCCTGAGTGGCGTTTATAGATCAGTAATAAGTGGGTAATATTACGGTAACAAGTTGTACTAACCAAAAAATTACATGCTAATATTCTAGTTGTTTCTAAATAATAAGTTAATGGTAATAAACTCGAATTATCTGCAAATAAAACATTAGTTTTCCAATAGATATTGAAATGTAAGTGATACTAAACAACTATTGAGTCATTTTATTTCCTCCCTTTTTATGTTTTTTATATTTTATATTATATTAAATGGCGTCCAGCTCTTACAACACATCTGCTTAATCAGCATATCACTGTTTAAATTATAGGGATTTATAATATTAGAGTTATTACCCCAAAAACAGTGCAGTAGCTCTGCTGTAATTATGTGCTATCAGTGAGAGATATATATATATATATATACACAGCTGTGTATTTCTTAACAGCAAGAAAATTATAATGTCATTTTTAGGTACATTTCTATAGTATTACCACATTATTATGCCTTTATTAACCGTCTATAAAGCACAGCCTGAGCACTGAAGCCCAGTGATTAGTAATTTTGAATTAGCTTCAAAAGTAACGAGCACCAAAACAATAAGCCTCTGACCTCTCGCCTCTTTGGCTTGTACGCTACGTTCTGTCCCGTTCGGGTTCCTCGAGCGCTCGCCGGCTCCTGCTGTCTCCACCCAGCGTTCACCTAAGCGGGAGGTGAAGGCAGGTGATTCTTTCCATCCAGAGAAAAAGCTCTTCCTCCCTCGAGAGGCCGCTTGGCTGCGTCAGTGCACTAAAGCTGGCTTTAATAGGTCGTTATCTCGTGCTTGCTGTATGACTGCATGTTCTACTTTTAGCACTGTTATTATCTCATCTGATCGGTGTTTCTATTGATCCCGAAAGGCCAGAGTAATACTTTTTGGAGGAAAAGCACATTTTTCTTCTTGGAAAGCTGTGTTATAAAAAAAATAGGGGATTAATTTTGGGGACGTGGGCAGATGCGTCGTTTTATTTATTTATTTCAGCGGAAAAAGTTCGTTTACGGTGATGTAACCTCTTTTCTAGAGGGATTTAGCCGACAGATTGGACAGGAGGTCTGCTCACTTCCTTTCAGCCGTTTGAACCGGTCATTTTCTTTGACCTCCGCAAGTGAGTGCATGTCTTTAAAAGGGGAACTCAAAATTCCTGCACAGACAAACAGTTGAGATGTAAACAGAATGGTTCAGAGTGGTTTGGTGTGAAACGCTCTGTTCTAGAGTCAGAACTGTTCACAGTGGTGGTGATAGGAACCAGACGTCCACCTCTAAAAGCTCCCTCACAGAAAGTTCCTACATGAAATGGTTATGAATTCACTGCCTGATGACTGAGACACTGTTTTATGATAGTTTAGAGAACTTAAACTCCATTCATGGTGGAGGGATACATGCAGGGCGCTGTGAGGCAAAATAGTCCCCAAAGAAAACTTATTATTTCAGATTTTCCACTATTTTCCATCATCAACATTCCATATAAACTCAGAAGACTCGTGTAGGTTCACTGGTGGTTCTGGATAGTAAATAAAATGTCTATATTTGTGTTGTAGTCATGGCGACCCCTGGTTCCTATCACCACCACTGTAAAGACATCTGAACCATTTCACACCAAACCACTCTGAATCTCTCTGATTACCTCTCACATTGCAAAATTATACCTTATCAAGTAAAAACATTTTAAATGTAGTTAATATGCCTAATATTCCTCATTATGAGACTGTTGTAAGAATATTATAAGATTATTTAACTTATTTCTAGACATTTCTACTTGTTTTAAGTAACTGTATCTTATGAAAGTGTCTTATTTCATTTTGTTTTAACCATTATTTCTTGAAATCAGCAAAATTATCTTCATTATTTCTCAAAACAAGAAATGATCTGCCACGTTCACCAGATACAATGACTTAAAACAAGTAAAAATGTGTAGAAACAGGTGGAATAATCTTATAATATTCTTACAACAGACTCATAATGAGAAACATAAGATACACACTGCAAAAAAACAATATCTTAACAAGAGAAATCACCTTAAATGCAGTCTAAATGTGTAATATTTCTCATTTTGAGGTGCCTGTATGAATATTATAAGATTCTTTAACTTATTTCTAGATGTTTTTACTTGTTTATAGTGATTTTATCGAGTAAAAATATCTCACTACAGTGGCAGATAATATTGCTTGTTACATAAAACAAGCTTTAAAATGAGCAAAGTTATCTGCCAACATAGTGAGATCATTTTACTTATTGGTCAAATTGGTCAAAACACAAAACAAAGTATAGAAATAGGTTAAAGAACTACATTTCAGTTGTTTTCACTTGTTAAGACTTCATTTTATGCAGTGCAAATTTAGAAAAAATCAGTGGAATTGCCCTTCAGGGAAGAGCTTCTTCATTTTGCAGTCGCTTCAGAACCAGCTGGACAACTTCAGGTTCTCTGTCAAGTTCTCTGACCGCTGAACATGACCAGAGAAGACCTGCTGAATCTGAATATGCTTCTGCTCGTATTAGCTGTTATCTCCATGTAGCCCTGTTCCTCGGGAGCAGAGAGGCCTCCCTCGCTGAGGCAGCTCTGCTCTCGTCCCAGGAGAGCGGCGTGTCTCACTGCTGCTAAAAACATTTCCCTGTTTGCCATGAACAGCTGCGAAGTGGATTTAGGCCTGGGGAACCTGTCCAAGGCACACAAACGCTCGGAGAGGGGATTAGGACTCTGATATACTCTCATATATGTATAAATAATGCTCTCCCGTTTTGGCAAAGTCATTCGGGCCATGATTTTGGCTGTGGAAGGCTAATCTGTTGACCCTTCTTTAAGCCACAGTCGCTTTGGGCCAGTCGTGTAGCTAAAGAACAAACCACAACAGTACAGAGTACAGACGGTACTTAGGTACAGGATTTACTGCAAAAAATGACCTGAGTCAGTGAAAACACCTTAAATGTAGTTAAACCTCCACTGCAGGTGTTATGACAGCAATTTAAAAAATATTCGATTCCCTTTTCTGGCATAAAATGGACCTGATTATTACATATCAAAACATTTTTTAAAAAATAATGTGTGGAGGGGTCATTTTGGGGTGTGTTGCCTTGAGGCAACATTGTGTGACAATTAGAAGAAATGATGTAGATCTGTGTTCCCTGAAGTCGTGACACCTGGCTTGTGATTGGCTAAATCCATTCCACTGTCGCACAATTTGTTGCTTCTAGGCAACAAATATATTTCTGCAGATTCTCATAACAAAAAAAATTGATAGTGAATGTTAAAAAAGAGGTTTAAAAGTTCCCACTAAGAGATAATATGACCAGGAACATGCTTTTTACTGACTTACTCAAACTCTTCCCTTTATTGTTTACCCTGTCATTGTCTTTAAATATGGATAATGTTATTGTAAAGTGAGGAAAATGGGTTTGTTGCCCTGAGGCAACATTGTGCTATAGAGGGTTAATATGTCTAATATTTTTCATAATGAGACTGTTTGAAGAATATTATAAGATTATTTAACCTATTTCTAGACATTTTTACTTGTCTTAAGTCATTTTATCTAGTAAAAATGTCTCTTTCCATTACTTGTTTTGAGAATTAATAAAGATAAGTTTGCTTATTTCAAGAAACAATGTTTAAAGCAAGTGAGTAAATTGATCTGTCAGTGGAAAAAGACACTTTCATAAGATAAAATTGCTTAAAACAAGGAAAAATATATAGAAATTAGTTAAATAATCTTATAATATTCTTATAACAGTCTTATAATGAGCAATATTAGATATATACTGCAAAAAAACAATATCTTAACAAGAGAAATCACCTTAAATGCAGTCTAAATGTCTAATATTTCTCATTTTCAGGTTGTGTGAATATTATAAGATTATTTAACTTATTTCTAGATGTTTTTTACTTGTTTATAGTAATATAGTGAGATAATTTTACTTAAGAAAATTACTATAAACAAGTAAAAAGGTCTAGAAATAAGTTAAATAATCTTTTAATACGCTTACAGCAATCTGAACATGAAGAATGGTTTTAATATAATTTCACTTGCCAAGATACATTAAACATATTTTCAGTTGCGATGATATTTTTGCAGTGAGGCGTTTCAAATTAACACAGCATAATATTCCCTTTATGCTCAGAGGAGTGATGAGACGACAACCTTCATGAAGATTTTTAATTTTTCTCACATCAAAGCACATATTTACATTTATACAGAAAGCAAAATGAAAAGAGAACAAAGAAATATAAATTGACCTTGAAATAAAGTTATGATTGATTAGTGTGCTGTGCTGTACAGATGGGGCTCGACTTAAACAGCAGTAAACCCTGCGGTCAGTGGCGTCCAGCCATTTCCACTGTGCTTCACCGTACTGCTTCCCTTATGCAGTCATACTATCACTGCACACAAAGCAGTATGACCTGTGTTCTAGACTCCCTGCTGGAACCACAGATATTTATATCTCCAGATTGCTGACAGAGTGGAGTTCCACATAGACCTCCACTCATTTTCACTTAATACTGAACGGCTTTTTCTTTAAGGCAGGCCTCAGAATCAAATGTATACATTAAAAAGATGGTTCTTCAATGGTTCTTTAATAGAGAAAATGGTTCTATATAAAACTGTACATGCTAAGATGGTTCTTTACATGGTGAAATTGTTCTTCAGATTGATGGAGAATGTGTTATTTATGGTTCTATATAGCACCAAAATGTGTTCATCTGTAATTATGATGTCAAGCTTATTA